GATCTAAGAGCATGTCCTAATAGAAAAACTAGATATATTTATTACGCTCACAAGGAAGATGTATGGTGTCTGTGATTGCGTGGACATCCATATTTTATTGTCCTAGTCTGTCGATGTCAACATTGGGGGTGTTATTGAAGGAACCCTGAGTAGGATTGAGAAGAACCATCTGAGGCAGCTGGCTGAGCCTGCCAGGAAAGGGATCCTGCAGCTTCTCCACTGCCTGCCTGAAACTGATGTGTGTGTGGGGCTCTGCCTCTCAGGCCACGTAGCCACTATGCCCAGAAGTCACATGAGGCATGACTATCCTCTGCCCCTTCAAAGGCTGGGGTCTTCAGTCAGTCACCTTTCCTTCATGACTGCCTACCTGCCTGGTTTGCCATGGCTGTGGGGATCAACTTGCAAACATGGGAGACAGAACTCTGGCATCTATTAAAATTCACATAAAAGCAGATTTTCTTCACGTTATTAGTAAAGAGATAGACTTGCTCCTTGATAGTTCTGCTAATGACTTCATTGTGTCCTTTTGGACCCTTTCAGTGCTGCCTTTTAATGGTCATTTCATTTCAGCTCAGGATGTGGAAGCTGCTTAAGGACCCTGCTCGCATCTCCTCCTTCCGTGTCTAGCCTGGAGAGGCGGACTTGCATTACATGTAATTGTGGTGCTGGCAGGCCAGCTGCTGTTGAGGATATCGTGAAATGTGACCCTACTTGGCCTACAGATCTTAACTACAGATTGCAGGTGACCCCACCATTCTGTCTGTCTCTAGTCTGCATACTAAGTCTCTCTAGCCATCAGAATCAAGCATGCAAGGTAATCTGTTTTGCTAAAGGTCCTATAGGAATTTGTTGCTACTGCTGACATAAGAAAAAGGAGAAAAAAAAAGGCAAATTTATATTTTCAGACTTTTGCAAAGTGGCAGATGTTTCCTGTCCAAAAGTGGTATCACAGCAGCATGTTATATAAACCATATATAAACTATCATATGGCTTTAAAAACAACCTTTGCTTTAATAATTTTACAAGGAATGATGAATATATTCTCATTGAAAACAATTCAAGTATTTAAATATATAGAAGCAATGATTTCCTCTGGGTAAAAAAAAGGAACTTGAAATGATGTGAGAGGTGTTGGCTAAAGGAGGCTCTTCATTTTGCCTTTAAATTGAAATTTTGGGGTGTATCCTTTCATAGTTTTTATAAACATTTGTATACATATATGCACAGTTAAAATATGTAAAGAAATTTTTCTTTACACAATAGAACCATACTACACATATTGTTCAGTAACTTTTTTTTACTTAATATGACTTGAAGAGCTTTCAAAGTATAGATAATTACAAAATGGATTTGCTGCATGGGAAATATATAGAGCTAAATGGTATTCCAGAATATACCACATTTTAATCACTTCTCTATACATGAACATTTATTTTGAATTTTGGTATCACAGTGTTGCCATGAGCAGCCTTGTACATACATCTTTCTTCACATACACCAGTATTTCTTTCATTAGGACAGAAAACTGGAAGTGAAATTAATTCTCAGAATCTCAGTTTCCTTTTCTGTAAAACTGGTTTACTACAACCTACCTCAAGGATCATTCTGAGAATTAAAAATTAAAGTTAAATGTTCAGATTATAAATGCAAGTTTATTTTCTCTATTGAAGTCTTTTAAACAATAATTTAAATCATCCCCCACCCCCAATTTTCTCAGGATCATTTTTGTTCCTCTGTATCTGTTCTTCTATATTAAGATGTTTGATGTGCTGTGAGTCTTCTATTTAAGTTCCTCTCCTCCACCTTCAATTTCATTCTGTTCATCTTGGGAAGTCGCAGAGTACTCTAAAGAGTTTATTTTTCTGCTCTCCCTTCTCTACTTTCTGTTTCCTCTTTCCTTTCCTTGCTTTGTCTTTGCTTCTCTTCCTGCCATTTCATAAGCTACGTGGAGGTAGCCAGTTGGGTGACTGTCTCTGTGAAGCTGGGGAAGCATCACATGAGGGAGGAGCTGCTGGAGAGCGGAGATGAGGGGACAAGCTGAGAGCGGCGTTGGACCAGAGCTGGGTCTAGCAGCTAAGTGCCAAGTGGCACAATAGAGGACTTACAGCGGATGCTTTAAGCTCTGATGCCAAAGTATTTAATGGTTTAAATGAATCTCTTGGGTGGGCTCATTACCAGCTTCTCAGGAGCTTAGGGAAGCAGTCTGAGAGGGTACAGAGGTGGGGGACACTGGCAGGGCAGGGGGTGTGCTGACGTTTGGCAGCCAAGGGAGCAGCCTGGAGCTGGGGCTCAGCCTCTTACTTGGTGGCCTGGAATGCACAGTTCACAGGGTACACGCTCAGCCAAAGTTAGGTAGAGGAAAAAGATTTTATTCCAGTTCTTTTATGTCATATTGTTTTGCAACATTCCAATATGTTAAATAAAGTGTTTCAACTCCCTTGTTAAATGTGAGCATATATGACATAGCTTTTCCCCTTAAACCTTTTGTTCTCCCAATTCATCTAATTCTCAATAGATCATTTCTTAGCATCTTATGTATATGTTTTGAAGGGAAGCACTACAGCAAGGCTGCAGCCTGTATAGCCTCAGGCCACCTCTGATTGTATGAGAACACCCCCAATGATGTTATAACTAGAGGTATGGGGTTTGGTATGGCTCAGAAAGCCGACCTCTGTTTCCAGGGCTCGGCGCAGGTCCTGAGGTAGTGTATGTTAGCCAGCAGGTTAAAATACATGCTGATCCTTTCCCTGTGGCACTCGGTGCTCTGCTGTGGATACCCATAGAACTCCTCTGAGGACATTAAAAAGATGATTTAAGCCACTGCTGAGGAGTTTAGATGTAGGCACACACTCTTAGCCTTGTGTCTTCATGTAACTGCTCAATTTTCTCTTCATTCATCTGTTCTATTGCCTGAGGAGGCTCCTGTCATCTCCGTAGACTGGAAGTCCAAAAAGGACTAGTTCATCTGGTCAGTTTGCCTTGCTCTGACTCTAACAACACTTGATGTGTTTAACAAACACTTTTTAACATAAGCAGTGAGAAAGAGGAAATATGGCGGATCCACGCTGAGCTCTTTCATCTCTCAGCTCTTCCCTCGGAACCCCTGCGAAATGAATCCATGTTGTTCCCCACGTTCCCCCAAGGAACATGATGAGCTGTTCTTTGGGGCCAGATTTTCAACCTACGATTCTCTGAGAATAATTACCACATTGTGGAAGAGATGAGGATCTGGTCCAATGAGTCAAGAGAGTAAAAGCATAATCCATTTGAAAGGAAGACATGGTTTGGTGACTAAAGAAGGGGAACCCAGATTTATCCTGTACATGACATTTAACTCAGTGCCTCAGGCATGCCATTTTATCTTATGTTGCGGAAAGCTTAGGAATTGTTACAGATGCGTAGGTGCAGGGTTGTTCTCAAGATTTCTGCCTTCAACTTGCTGTAGATTTAATTTAAAGTATGGAATAACATGGCCACAGAATGCTGATGTAAATCTTTGGCTGTTCAACTGAATTTAGGGAACTTGGGACTTTCCTACATTTTGTTTTTATGTTATCCTTAAAAGCCACGTGCTACCCCTCTGCTTTTTGTTCTGATCACACAGAGAGCTCTCAACGCTACCCTTGACTCTCCTGCCTCATTCATCCCAGGAAACGAGAGCTTTGAGTCTCTTCTGTTCCTGTCTCCTCCTTCTTGTCTTATTTCAGTATCTGTTTTCACACCAGACTTTCTCTTACTGTTTCTCCCACATAATAAGACTTCATACCTCTAATCTTCCTATCTTATTCCACTTTTCAAAGGCCTTTGGCTCATCTAAAATCATGGAAAACATTTACATTTATGGACTTAGGCATGATTTCTTTCACCAATCATGACAGAAACATCTCTCTTAGCTTTCAGTACCTAGCACTGTGCCCACTGTATACTATGTAGGCCTTAAATATTTTTGAATAAATGAATGAAAACCTGCCCCTTCACAAAAAGAGCGTGATTATAAAATGTGAACCGTGAATGATGGATGCATGCTTATTTATTGCGATAACAATATCACATCAAAGTTGCATTGGACTCTACTTTGCAAGAAGCACATTGTTGCTTGTGCCTGGAATCCCTCACTTGCCACTCAGGGGCTCCCCAATTCCTCACCCTGACCACTTCCTACCAGGCTTTTAGGACATGGTGTAGGGTGAGCCTTCCTGAGTCGCCAGGGCTGAGTTAGAGCTTCTCCTCTGAGCTTCCAGGGCATACTCTGCATATCTGTTACAGCCCTTATCTCATGGGACAGACATTTCCTTCATCTCTTTCTCCTCATCCCAATAGCCTGAGTTATTTCACTGGATTTCCAGTGCCTAGCAAATGTCCTGAAACATTAAGCAAACAATGTATGTTTGTGGAATAGATCAGTGAAGCTTGTTTGTGTGACTTTCAGTGAGTAAGAAGGGAGATTGGAAGCCTTTTGGAAAAGAGACAAAGAGACTAGGAAATGTTTTTTTTTAGGTTGGGAATGAGACCATGGATCTGAAGGCCTTAAGAATTTTCAAGAGATGACAGATGTTCTCTCAAACAAATTCAGAGACTGAGGGATAAAGGTTGGAGACAGCAAAACCTGTTTCTTCACATTACACAGCATGTACACTAGCATCTCTGTGTTGCTTCTCTGCATTTCCTGGCCCCCCACACAGCACAGTGTGGGATTCTCTCTCTTTTCTTGCTTGTGAGTGCTCCATGATATCTTAATCTCCTTCAGGCAGGAAAGGACAATGTCCTAAAGTTGTTTACATATTCTGTGAGCCAGGTGCTCAGCAAAGACCTGCTCTCTCCTTGACCACAGTTTCCTGATGGCTTTTTTAGGGACAGGGGAACATCTGTTGTAGGTGATGTGTATTCCAGAGGTCAGTTTTTCTGGCACATGATTGTTACAATTATGCTCGCCATGGATATTTTAATTAAAGACTACAGTCTTGTTCTTGAATTGGCAAAGTTTCAGGGTGCCATGACTTATATGTAGATGGACTGAGCTGCCCCCTGACTTCTTTCCTTTATCCTCTTTTCTTTCTTTATGAGTAAAAGTACTGGGCCTCTTAATGACTCCTTATGAGTCCCAGTAGTTGCTCAGGACCAAGGATGTTGTTAGGTGTTCACAATGGCTTCTCAATATACTTGTCTAATTCATCAGGGAGAGAGGCTGTATTTGGCCACACCAGGAAATCCATCACTTTAATATTCAGAGCATACTTTCTTTTGAGTTAATGAGTAATTTGAAATTTTCATCTCTTCTGTAGATTCATTAGCTGTCTGTTTGTAAAAGCTTTAAATGACACCAGCTCAGGCATCCTGTCCTCTGTGGCAGGCCTCTGAGAGAGCGTGTGTCAGATAAACTTGGTTTGGAGCCCCATTGATTTTTCTGACATTTATTTTTTAAGAGGTGATTTGCTCCTCTTCAGGGAACTTGAAACGCTGAACGAAGATGCCCGGAGACACACAGACTATTGAACTTCAAATTTTAAAGGCATTACAAATGTTAAGAGACAAATCTGGCTTTGGAGCAGACGATTCTTCCTTTTCATAAACAATGTATCCAGTCCCTTGTCACAATAAAAAATAATTTGTATTAAAAATTCAAAGCC